TAAAATTGTTGTGATAAACTTCTAAGGATATCATTGACAGTGCAATGTCAATTAAAATTGTTGCAATAAATTTTGAAGAATATTGTTAACAGTGCAATGTCAATTAAAATTGCTGTGATAAATTTTGAAAGACATTATTAACAATACAATATCAATTAAAATTGTTGCGATAAACTTCAAAGGATATCATTGACAGTATAATGTCAATTGAAAATCGCAGTGATATAAATGCAAGTGATGACCATCGAAATGATATATTATGAATATCTAACATAAATGAAAGTTGTTAATACGAAATTACTACAAAAATAATAATATTTGTAAAATTTCACATATGAAGATATCAAAATCGATAACCTTTGAAGGTTATCGATACAAATTTACTATGAAAACGATAATATTCGTAAAATTTCGTACATAAAAATATCAAAATCGATAATTTTTAAAAGTTATCGATATGAATTTACTATGAAAATATTAATATTCACAAATTTCACCATGTGAAAATATCAAAATCAATAACTTTTGAAGGTTAGCGAAGACCTTTGAAAAATAACATATCAAAAAACAACAAAATACTTATATTAACATTAACTTTTGAAGGTTTTTATCAAAAAAATTTCCTAATGAACTATCTCTCACAGAATATAGAGCATAGGCTCTTCTAACAATTGTTCAAAAATGAGGCAGACGATTTTGCAGAAGATAGGATCTGGTAGTACTTTTGACGTTATTACTGAATCCTCTAAGATATAAGAGAAGACCCAACTGATAATAGAATAAAAGTTTCTCATCATTCTTGATATTATTATCAAAAGCATTAATAGATTCATATACATAGGTAAGTTGTTTTTCCTAATTTCTACCTGGGAGAAATACAAGGGAGTCATACTTGTACTATTTTTTTTCAAGTCAAAAATTAACAAAGATAAATGATTGTGATTCTCTCATCATAATTTCATCAGGATAAAGGACATAGTTCATATTTAATTTCTCCAGTTGTTATAGTTAAAGTTTTTCTTATGCCATGCTGCTACATGACAGATTGAATTACTAGGACGACAGTATATATAGAGGTAAAAATATTTTCGTAACTCATGTTTTGCGTATTGTTATTTTTGAGTTTGCACTAGATCTAGTGACATTTATATATTTGCTGATTTTAACAATTTCTCTCATGGCATTCACAGTATTTCTTGTACCTTGAACTTTGTTATTTGTCTATCCATGGTCTCTATGGCTTTTCTTATATTCCAGGTGTTATCCAAGTCTCTATTTTTCAAGGAGTGAGGGTGAAGTGAGTGTTTCTTGGTCAAGAAGGTGGCAGTAAAATTTATATCATTTTTATTCTCATGTGGTGCAATTAGACTACTGGAATTTTGATTATACAATGAAAGTCTAATTCTTTTTTAATTAATTTAAATAGATTATCAGAATTTTCATTGCATTTAGATCTACATCTAATCTACAGATACTAATTAATTAATTTAATTAGTTTAAATAAACTTTTTCTAAATTCTAAATTCTTCTGGTTCTTTCTCTTCTAAAGCAATTATAAAATTAAAGAAATAGAAATTATAAATAAAGAAGAAAGAATATTATACTAATTCTGGTTCAGGAGTTGTGTGAATTCTTTTATTCAAGTATAGGAACAAGACTACTTAAAATATTTCCAAGATTTAAATAAGTTTAATAAGGAATTAAGGTAAGTATGGTTTTTCTTTCTTTCTAAAAATTTTTCTAAGCCAATTGTATTAATTAAAGGAGTATTATATTTTAATTAGATAAGTAATGAAGGATAAAATAAAAGAAAAAAAAATAAAATAAAAAAAATAATAATATAAAGAAAAATAATAATAATAAGAGATAAAAAAAATAAAAAAAAAAAGAAATAAAACAAAATAAAATAAAAAAAATAGAAAAATAATCAAGTCAATATAATTTTTTAAAAGGATTTTTACTAATATTCTTAATCTATTTGCAGAAAAAAAAGAAAAGAAAACAAAGAAATAAAGTTCTTTGTTCTTTGTGACTTGTATAAAAAAATAAGTGAAAAAAAGTATTCTGGAGATAATCAAGAATCTTCAGAGCTTGTTATGAAATTTGGAGAATGAAGAAAGGGTGAGGTTTCTTGAATAATATAATCAATAACAACAGTAGGGACTTCTATTCTGAGATGATATAACTTTAGTCTATTACCATGTGCAGATCTCTTTAATACTTTTACTTCTTTATTTCTCAATTTGTAGATACTATTTCCAAAGACTTGATGGATATAATAGAGATCTTCTTATTTTTCTTCTAGTTTGTGACTTCAAGTTTTCTCAAGAGTAAACTTATATAGTAGAACTAGATCCCTTATGCTATAAGTCTCAATGGTGACTTTGGCCTGGTACTGGAGCTGTTGTTTCAATTAACTTCTGGTAATTCTATCTTGAACTTGGTTCCTAACTTCTTGAAAATCTCTTATGACTTGTTTTATCTTTCAAACAAGGAATCTTGATAATCTATCATATCTGCAGTTTCTGAAGGATAAGAGGTTATTTCTGTTTTTATAGGTAATAATACTTTTCTTCCATATAGAAAAAAGAATGGCTCATGTCAGGTTGTATTTTGCTAACTGGTCCAGTAGACAAACAATACAGCCAGAATGAACAAATCCTAGTTTTCATTGAATTAACTATAATATTTAGACAGAACATCACAAAGAGTTCAATTGAATCTTTCTGTTAATCCATTAGTCTAGAGGTGATAAACACTAGACAACTAGTGTTTAACATTCATCTTTTTGTACATAGTATCTATTACTTGATTACAAAAATGACTTTCTTGATCAGATAAGAGTTCTCTTGAACAGCTATACTGGTAAATTATATCCTTATAGAAAAAAGAAGCTATATTGATAATATCAGCAACTGGGATGGCTTTAGCTTCGGGCCATTTAATCAAATATTCAGTTACCACAACTATATATTTGTTTCTCCAAGCTGTTATGGGTAGAAGGTCAACAATATCAATTCCTACTCTGTTAAAAGGACTTCTAACTTTGATAAAATGTAAAGGTTCTTTAGTCTTAGGTTTTCCTCTTCTTTGACAAGCATCACAAGATTTGACATACTTCTTTATATCTTCTCCCATTTGAGGTCAAAAATATTAGAGTGAAGTCTTCTAGAGAGTAGTTATAACGTTGAAATGTTTAGAAAGTAAATCAAAATGTATAGAGAACAAGATGAATTCTTTTTCACTGGTTTTAATTATTCTTTAAGGTTTTTGTGAATTCTTTAAGTTTCTTTTATACAATATTCTTTCTCTTGCAAAATGATTTCAGGTTTGATATTTTAACTTCTTTACTTGGTCACTGGTATAATCTTCCAGAATAGTAGAATCACTTAAATAGCACAAGAAAAGATAATAGGTGTCAAGATCTATTTTAAGATTTCTATTCATTCAAAATTTGATTTTGATTTAAAGTCTTTGAAGGTTTGTAAGGTAAGTAGATAAGTTTTTTTTTGGTTTCTTTGTAGTTTTACTTATTTGACTAAATAAATATTAATTTTTCACTAATCAATTCAAAAGGGTATAATAAGATGGTTTAATTTATAGGTGACTAAATACTAATAAGGTTTGGCTTTTTTTTATGATTTCTAGAAGGTTTTTATCACATATTTATTATTATTTTTAAAAAGGGGAAGAAAAAAGTTTTAATATTCAATCTGAGACAAAGTGTTAACATTGAAATGGACTTTTCTGAACTTATAAACAATAATAAAGGAGTATTCTTGAAGGATGGCAATTCACCTTGCTAATCTATTCTGGATATCTTATATGCAAATAGAAACTTTAGAACGGAGTAATCAGTCACAAGAGTAAAATGAATTTCATGGAAGTATTGGCGAAAGTAGAATATGGCCCAAACAACTGCTAAGTATTCTTTCTTAGTGACTGTATAATTCTTTTCAGCTTGGAACAATGATCTACTTATATAGACAATGACTCTCTTCAGTCTTTCTGAGTCCTCTTGTAGTAAAATAGCTCCTAGAGCTATATCGGAAGTATTTGTGAAAAGAATAAATTCTTTTTCAAAATTTGAATAGGTCAGGATCAGAGTAGAGGTAAGGTGAATTTTCAATTGGTCAAAAACTTTCTACTGTTCTTCAGTCCATTTATATGTAACATTCTTCTTAAGCAACTTATTCAGGAGGGTAGCAATGGTAATAAATCTTTAGACAAACTGGTAATAATAAAAAGTTAATTCAAGGAATTCTCTAAGTTATCTTAAATTCTTAGGAATTGAGAAGTTCTTAATCATTTCTATTTTATCTGATCTGTGGAGATTTCATCTTCTCCTATTACATATCCTAGGAATTTTAGCTTCTTTTAGACAAAAGAACATTTCTGGGGTTTCAACTTTAATCCAGTCTTATAGAGAATGTCAAATACTTTCTGGAGGTATTTCAGATGGTCCTCAAAAGTTTTGGAATACACATTCAAATCATCCAGGTATACAACTACACTTTTTCCAATCAAGTCAGAGAATAGGAAATCCATTAATTATTGAAAAGTGGCTAGAGCATTAGTAAAGCCAAAGGATATTACATTGAACTGATATGTGCTAAAAAAGATAATAAAAGCTATCTCCTTCTTGTCTTCCAGATCCATTTCCACTTGCCAATAGTTATTGGCAAAGTTCAGAGAAGTATATCAAGAAAAATTCTTCAACATATTCAATAATTTATTAATTTAGAATAGCAGATAATTGTATTTCTTGATTACAACATTTAGTTTCTTATAATTAATACAAATTCAGATTTTATCTTTCTGCTTTACCAAGATAACTGGAAAGGTTCAAGGACTTGTAAAAGAAAAAATAATATCTTCTTCTAACATTCTGGAGATTTCTTCTTCTAAAAACTTCTTTTCTTTTAGAGAATGCTGATAAGGTCTTTGTTTAATTGGAAACATATCTCCAGAACAAATTCTATGTCGAACAATGTCAATGTGGCTTAACTGATTGGAAGTGAAAGCAAAGTTTTCCATATTCTTTTGCAACAAAGAATCCAATTCATCTCTTTGCTCTTTTACTAATTCAGGATTAATCTTAATATCAGAGACTTCATCTTCATTAAAGAAATAACAATTAAGAATTTCATTAATCTCATTATCTTTGTTTTCTTCATCAGATGACCTTTCCAAGTCTTTTTCCAAGTCTTCTTTCAAGTTATTTTTATCTTGGAACAAAGCTCCAGGCTCATCCTCATTCTGAAGTTCTCCGGGTTCTTGTTTAATCTCTGAATGAATATACAGTTGTTCATTTAATTCTTCTTCTTCAAATTCTTCTTCACTTTAAGTATTGGATTCAGTTCCGCTTTCTTTATTCAGGCCTTTCAGACTTTCTACAATTACTGGTCTATCACTTTCAAAAGGTTGGGAAGAAAGTTTTCTGAATTCTACTGGAACTTTAACCTTTTGATTATTCCAAAGAATAATTATTTCTGAGGTACTCCAATTTATATTAACTTTGACCTTGGAAAGTCAGTTATTTCCTACAATCGCTTGGTAGGTTTGGGTATTGGTTACAACAACATCAGTTGGGATTTAACAACCACTAACTTCAAAAGGAAAGTTGAATATTTCTCCTACTACTCTTTTGCTTTCACCATGGACACTAATCATGCTGATAGTAGATGATTTTTCTACTTTTATATCAATCTTTTATAGCAAGTAGAAAATAACAACACTTCCAGAAGATCCACTATCAATAATCAGAAAAATAGTTTTGCCTTTCACCTTGGTATCACAATATAGAGCAGTAGACCTGTAATTAAGTTGGATCCCTATATTGGTTCTTTGTTTTTTTTTGAACAGAACTTTCTTCTTTTGTAAACTTTTCATCAAATCCTACTTCATTCTGGAGGTACCAAGAAGCAATTGGCCATAAGTGATATTAGCCTTCTAATTTTACAAGTCTGTTACAATGGAGTACTTAGGAATAAGTGAAACAATCTGTGGTAGTTTCTTTTCTGTTGGTTTCTTTATTGAAATCAGAACTCTTCTAATTTTTGAAGCTACTTTCAGCTTTTCCACCAGAACAGGTTCCTTCTCCAGAACTTGAGTTATAATGATATTACTAACATAAACTTCAGATTTACTAGATTCCTTGGGTACTTTTACTGTAACTGGTGGAATCTTTGAAACTGGATCTTCTTTAGCTTTTCTTTTGAATGGAGGTCAAGTTAAAACAGGATTTTTCCTAGTCAAGAAACTTGAATCACTTCTATCAGTCAGATAGTAAAGTATACTATCATACTTATGTAGATTGAAAAAACTACTAGATTCTTGCTAAACATCATTATTGAAAAACTGATTATTTTCAACTTGATTCATAATATTTATCAAAAGAACTTGGAGAGTCTGATTGGGATCAGAAGAACCACCAGAAGATATATTGTTCAGAATTAAATTACTATTTATTTGAGCTAGATTTCTCAAAGAACATTGTTAAATGAGATAAGAGGTGAATTATTATTTTCTTGATTATTGCCAAAATTAGTTCTAATATTTTTATTAAAGTTTCTTCAAGATTCAGAACAGTTTCTACTCATGTGTTCAGGATTGTCACAATTGTAACAAGATACTTGGAACTTATTGTCATTGTTACCACCATAATTATTATTACTAAAATTTTCAGCTGATCTGGAGTTTTCTTTCTTTTGTAGGTTATTTACTTGGGACATCATAGCATTCACTACTTCAGTCAGTTTATGTATTGCAGCTTCAGTTGGATTAGTTGAAATTAGAAGATTTACAGGAGAAGGAAAACTATTATAAGGTATACCTGCCACCCAAATTCAAAATCCAAATGCCGAAATCCCAAATGCCGAAATCCCAAATCCCAAATCCCAAATTATGATTAGTATTTTTTGCCGAAATCCCAAATCCCAAATCCCAAATACTAGTAATTTGGGATTTGGGCAACACGTATATTATAAGGTTAGCTTGGAATATAAGAAGCAGCTGGACCATTCAGATTATAAGATGGAGCTGGGAAATGAAAACCTAAAAGAGATGCATAGGCGAAATTTTACTTGAGAGTACTCTCATATACTTTCGCTCTATTGTATGCATTGGGAAAATTAGCTGGAGTCAAAGTAGACACATGGATACAATATTCTGGGTGAAGGCCATTAATCAAAATCTGAGCTTTTGTGAAATCAGGATAAGCATGTCCTCCTGCTTCAACTCTCCTGAACAACCCTTCCATCTCATTGTAGTAAGAATCTACATCTTCTTTGGGATGCTGTTTTCTTTGGGTCAGTTGGATGAACCACTTGACTTCTAGGACAGTAGTCTTGAATTACAAAATAAAGAGAGACCAGAAGTTTCAATCTTGATAGTTAGCATCATTCCATCTATTTACTGCTGGATTCTAGTTCTTTCTTATGATTCATCAAGTAGCAGCAGAGCTTCTAAGCCAGGAAGTAATAACAGCAATCTTCTGGTCCTGAGAGACCATATTAGTATCAAAAGCTTTTTCTATTTCTTCTATCTAGGTAATTGGGTCTTGATCTTCACCAAAGAAGTTTAAATAAAGTACTAAATTCATTTCCTAATTCAGAGCAATGATATTGACTACTGGAGGTTGGATATTTTATAGCTAGAGCACTAGGGCAGTCAATTGAGCAATAAATTGGTCTAATCCTGTGACTATTAATTTATTACTTCAGATAGTATATAGATAATTATTTCTTATTCTTCTTCTGAACCTTCTTCTTCTATTTCAAACTTAGTATTATAATGTTCTGGAGCTTCTGAATTGGAAAAATTTTCTGATGAAAAAGAGAATCGGAACAATGGGAGTTCAAAGGTATTGGTAAAAAAGGTTTTAGAACCTATTTTGAACAATTCTATTTAAAAATAGATAGGATTTATTTATATTCTCTATACAACTGGTATCAAATTGATACTACCTATTAAGAAAGCAAGAGGCAAGTACAACAAGTGCTTGAATTTAGTCTAATAGTTATCAGTGAGTTTTGGGAGTATGGAAAGACAAATAAATATAAAGTAACTAATTTTCTATACTATAGAATAATAAAAGTAAAGAAACAAAGAAGAAACAAGTTAAAGGAAGGATATTGAATATAGAGAAGAGAAAATATGACAAATTTTAATCTGATGACAATAAAAAACAAAATGGAATAGTTTTACTAGAACTTTGTAAGAATTTTGAAGGATGGATGAGTTCAAAAAATGAAGAAAGTAAGTTTTGGCTAAGTCATGTGACAGTTTGAGCGAAGATTTAAAGATCACTGGTTTATTTTAAGACTTTAGATTATACAATATAGACTTTACTTATAATTTATAAACAAATGCGAGGAAATAAATAAACAGGTGTATAACTTATTTATAGACAAGATAAAGATTTTATTAAGAAAATAGAGAAAATACAAAAAGAAATAAAGAAAATAAAGAAATCTATCCTAAGTTCACTCAAAAACTATTTAAAGATTTTAATCAAAGTTCAGTAATTACTAATTAATTTATTGAATGAATGATTAACTACTTGAAATATTACTTTATTCACATTACATGAAGAAGAAAAATTAAAGCTACTTTTATAGATATTTCAATTCTATTCTAAAAATATAAATTAATCTATTAATTGATTATATGATGAAAGAAGAAAAAAGAAAGAAAAAGAAAGAAAATAATAAAATAGACTCAATTCCAGTCTTGTTTAACTTCTTGGCTATTGTAGAGGTGGTAACAGTTTAAAACATTTGTATCTTTACCTTGGTAAGTGGTCTTTTATTAGGAAGAGTGGTCATCATCTAAGCAAAACAGTGATTTCTGCAGTAATTTATAGTAGACCGCAGCATCTGCAATTTGTAATATATCAGAAGTCACGTGGCACGTGACTGGCACAGCTGAAAGAATTTATCTCTTAAACTGTTCATTTTAGCAGATAAATTTGTACGCTAAAATGATTAAAAATAAATTAGACCTAAAGAAGAATTTTTCTTATTAAAAACTTCATTTTAATTGGTTAAAATGATTCCTAAGAGCCTAAGTCACATGGCATAATTTCCAGTTGCAGTGTTACATATTACATGTGTTACAAAAAATGACTTGACTTTATTATTTAATAAATCAATACTAATTTAACAGAATTTAAACTTTTATTTCTTATTAATTATGAAATCATAAATGAATTATCTACTTAATTAATTATTTATCAAAATGTATAATTTAAAATTTAAACTATGGTGATAGGTTGCAGGCGTGTTTCGTGTTAATCTTAGGATTGACAATTCGAATTAGTCTGAGTCTCATCTTTTTGTTAGTTACTAAAATAAGTTGTGTATCTTATATTATGTAATATTAATGTAGGAGACTTTCTTTTTTTTTAGTCAATAAATTTGAGGCAAAGCCTTGCCAAAACTTTTTAAAAAAAAAAAAAATAATTTAAAATTTAAACTATTAAAAAAAAAATTTAAAAAAAAAACTGTCACTCCGTTTTCGCAATGATGCAATATAAAAAAAAATAAATTCGTGTTTATTAATTAATTATTTATCAAAATGTACAATTTAAAATTTAAACTATTAAAAAAAAAAATTATTTTTTAATTAATAAAAAAAAAAATTAAAAAAAAACCATCACCACATTTTCACAAAGATGCAATACAAAAAAAAATAAATTCGTGTTTATTTATTAGGTATGGAATTGTAAAAAACAATTTCTAGTATTATTGTAATACAGAGGCACATTACACGTTACGTATCAAAAATGACTTCTATATAGATTTTTTCAATCCATTTTTATCTCTTTTTTATTCGTCAACTACATACATTACCTGCATGCTTCGCGTTCTTCTTTTCACTCTACAAAGTGATTCCCAGGAACCAGTTATTGATCTGAGAGCTCAAAATGTTTTGTTACTTTTGGCCAATTTCACTTTTTTATTATTCAAATTATTTCTTAGTTGAATTTGCCAGTATTATTTGTAAAATTAATTAGATCCCAGATAAACTTGTGGCAGAACTCTTACTGCTTTTGTGTTGATCCTACAGTTCGAATGATCCGATATAAGTTGATAATTACAGTATCGAGCAGCTAAAAAAAAAAGGCATCCAATTTCGCTGTGCTACTTTCTATGTACTGTAATATGAACGTAATTGATCTGTGATATCTACGCCATTCATATAGTGATTGTAATTGTCGATTACTTTCAGAATTTTTAATTTTTTTTTAAATTCAAGACCAAACACCGTTCGAACCTTTGCTGCATTGGTGCTTGTTTCCCTTGGTTGTTGTCTTTCCTGTTCTATCTTCCATTCTTTATCAGTAATTCCATGAATTGTCAATAGCATCATAACTGGCCTATTATCTTGTCAGAGAACAACTAATACATCATTTACCACAACTCCAGAACGAACATCCCAATCAAGTTTAATACCTTTATCAAGCTTTAATTCTTTTGAAAAATCTGCGGAAGTTTTTCGTATAGTCCCACAAGCACCGATCCCGTTCTGTTGAAAAAATTGAAAAAGAAGAATGCTAGAAAAATAGTTGTCCATGTATATATCGTAGGAAAGTTGATGGTACGGAAGTTGTTCAACGAGATGAAAAATCTGGCATCCGATTTGATTAAGTTCATTTACTTTTGTCATGTTACTTGGAACAATATATGATGTTGACAAAAAAGTAAAAAGTGTACCTGGTATCACAAAGAGACAAAATTTTGAAGCCTTCAGGGGTTAGTTTATTCTTAATTCATACGGTATGAACATTTCTTTCAAAAAATTGAAATATCATCTTATCTACAGAAATATTTGAATTTGGTACGTAAAGTCACTTCGAGACGTCCCGAATGTGTAAAAGTAACAGTTCCAATTTATCGAAGTAATTTTTGATTGTTGTAACAGGGGAGGAAATGTGAAAATATCTCTTTATCTGTTCAAAATATTTTAGAGGTATTTGTTTTGAAATAGGATAAATAAGAAACTTGTCAGTCTCATTTCAATACTGATTAAGTGAAGGTAACTTAAAAAGTCCTTGGTAAATTATCAAGGCAATCCAGATGAGGAATTCCTTTTGGGTGAGGTCTAGCTAACGTCTACCAGTAATACCAGCACTCTTCGATAGTACATAAAAATTTGTATTTTCGACAATAGTGTCTAACATGCTAGTTGTAAAAAAAAGAAAAAAAAAATCAATCAGCTTAGAGACACCAATGTCAAGATATGTTGGCAGCCGAACAGATGCCCGATGAGATTGTCGTGAATGAATAAACAGTTCAAAATTGGATGGAGGTGGGGGTAATTCTTGCTATATGACTCTTGCTAATTTGCATTTCTTTTTGTGGGTGCTTCTAGTGTCTATTTCATTTTTCTCGTTCTCGTCTTTATACTCTGAATCTTGATTGTCTAAGTGGCACTGGTGAGAAGTTAAGAACAGTACATATTCTTCGTCGTCGTCAGAACCTGTTTCCAAAATTTTGTGAAGTAAAGAACTTGTTAAACTCAAAGCTACTGCATTTTATACCTGCCACCCAAATTCAAAATCCAAATGCCGAAATCCCAAATGCCGAAATCCCAAATCCCAAATCCCAAATTATGATTAGTATTTTTTGCCGAAATCCCAAATCCCAAATCCCAAATACTAGTAATTTGGGATTTTGGCGTCCCAAATCCCAAATGATTTGGGATTTGGGCAACACGTATACTGCATTTGACATAAAGGACATATGGTTTTATTATTTTTTATTAATTTTTTTTTATTTTTTTTAATAATTAGAAGATGAAGGAGAAAAGCGATTATCAAGTTACACAATGTACAATCTACAAGATCTAATAATCGACACAATTATTATTAACAAAGATCTACATACATGTGAGATGTAATTATGAATAATCGCTAATCCAATTTAGCTTAGAAATGGGAGGGAAGTAACTTAAGAAATTTAAAAGGAATTACACAAAATTAGTATAAAAAATTTTTTAGTGTTTAAATTTGAACACTAGATGATCCAAAGGATAAATATAGATATAGAAAGAGAATAAAGGATTAAGATTTTTAGGATGAATTCAGAACAGAGGGGATGGTGAAAAGGACAAAAATGAAGTGAGTAGTACAAGATAAGTGGATAAATGAAGGTAAGTAGTAATAAGTATTGATAAGTAATATCAAGAAAATAGAAAAAGGAGTCAAAAGGAAGGTGATAACAATTAGTGGAAAAACTATATAAACGGATATTAACGGTAACAGGGTGTGATAGATGGAAACGATAGTGAAAATGTGATGATAATGAAGAGGATAAAAAATATAGTAACACCATGAGATCAACGCAAAAACAGCAAGAGTTCTGTTATGAGCTTATCTGGAATCTTATTAATTTTGTAAATGATACTGGTGAAATTTAACTAAGAAATAATTTGAATAATAAAGAAGTGAAATGGCCAAAAGTAACAAAACATTTTGAGCTCTTGGATTAATGACTGGTTCCTGGGAACCACTTTGTAGAGTAGAAAGAAAAACACGAAGCATGCAGGTAATGTACGTGATTGGTGAACAAAAAAGAAATAGAAATGGATTGGAAAAATTCATATAGAAGTCATTTTTGGTGTGTAGTGTGTAACATGCCTCTGTGTTGCAATAATACCAGGAATTGTTTTTTACAATTCCATACCCAATAAATAAACATGAATTTATTTTTTTTTTGTATTGTATCATTGCGAAAACGTGGTGACGGTTTTTTTTTTAATTTTTTTTTTAATAGTTTAAATTTTAAATTGTACATTTTGATAGATAATATTAATTAGGCAATTCATTTATGATTTCATAATTAATAAGAAATAAAAGTTTAAATTTTGTTAAATTAGTATTGATTTATTAAATGATAAAGTCGAGTCATTTTTTGCGACACATGTCATATGTGACACTGCGGCTGGAAATTATGCCATGTGACTCAAGCTCTTAGGAATCATTTTAACCAATTAAAACGAAGTTTTTTAATAAGAAAATTCTTCTCTAAGCCCGATTTACTTTTAATCATTTTAACGTACAAATTTGTCTGCTAAAACGGACGGTTTAAGAGATATGAAACAATTAATTATATAACCTTTAGAAATCATGTGCGAGTGAAGATTTCTTCATGCCAATCAACTCATTTAAAAAAATAAATTTTATAAAGAAAAAATAGAAATGAAGTTATTTATATAATTTGTAACCGCATATAGTCAGTGATATAATTATTTATTGTTATTTATACACTATATGTATATGATTGTCAAATTGATATAATTATTTATTGTTATTTATACACTATATGTATATGATTGTCAAATACCATTTTCAAATGCAATGTCAAAAAAAAAGTATATACTGTAGTATGAATAAAGATATATATATATGTATATGAAAATTAAGAAAATTATTACTATATTTCATTAATGTAATGTATATGCCATTTATAATATTAAATTTATCATTTATTCTTGATATTTATCCAACTATATAAAAAAAAAAATAATTTGGTTTTATGAATTTTGAATTAAAAAACATTTTTTTTTTTAAAAAAAAAAAAGGAAAAAAGGGTTCACCTGTAAAGTTAATGTTTTACTACTATTCATCTCTTGATCTCGATATATTCCAACTAACGCTTGAGCCTTTTCATATAAAGTACTCTTGAGAGAAATGACAATAAATTGAAAATTATCTGATGCATGTTCTCTAATGTAATTTGCAATTTTTCCCACATTTGTATTATCAAGAGCTGCATCAACCTCATCAAGTACAAAGAAAGGAGATGGGCGATAACTAAAAAAAATAAAAATAAAATAAAATTTAGAATCATTTATTTAAAAAATAATATATATATATGCGTGTAAATAATGAAAATTACCTATGAATTGCAAATAATAAAGCTAATGCAGCCATTGTTTTTTCACCTCCAGATAATTGTTCCATATCTCGAAAACGTTTCATAGGAGGCATAGCATGATATTTCACACCATCCAAGTATGGTTCCTGAAATAATTAAAAATTTAAATTAAATTAAATATAAATAAATATATCTTTGGCTTTAATTTATTACACGATATTTTTTATTAAGTCATACCTCTGTATCTTCTAAACTAAGATATGCAGTTCCTCCCAAAGGAAAACTACGACTCTTCGTTAATTCTTTATAGATTTTATCAATATTTTCTGCAATGTGATCATATGCTTCATGAAAATGTTTATATCTAATAAAACAAATAAATTATGTAAATAATTTGTGTGAGAAAATGATTTGTACAAATGATTTAGTAAATAAATAAAGAAATAATAACCTATCTTGTTTAACAGTATTGAATGCTTCTTTGGCTGACTTGACTTCTCGTCTTGCACTATCAAATTCTTTTTCTGTATCTTGTAATCGTTGTTCTATACCATCCAACCTGAAAGTTTTAAATAAGTCACCAGTTAATAATAATAATAATAAATATAATTAATATGAATTGCTTGAAATAATACCTTTCAATAGCTTTTAAACTAGGTGATATTTCATCCATTTTTCTCGTTATTTCATCAATCTTTTTTTCAAAATCTTTTGCAACTTCTATTCCATTATTCTAAATAAATAGATAATAAATAACATTATAAATAACATTATAAATAATATTACGAAATAATATTACGAAATAATAAGAATTAAATAATTCATTAACAAACAAACCAACCTCGGTTAAATCTTCTGTCAAAGAATCAAAATTAACTTGAATATTAGTCAAACCGGAATTCTTTGTTGTACCGCTAGACACGATATTATCATCATCGTCTGTATCCATTAAATCATCATCGTCATCATCTTGATACTAATAATAAAAAGAAATTAAAGAAATAATAAGAAATAATAAGAAACATCATAACAAGTAAAAAACACGATAATGAAAAGGAATTATTAAATAATTCGTACTTACTGATTCATTAATTAATACTTCATCAAGAGATCCTCTTAAGAGTGGTAAATCTATTTCCTCTAATTTACACTTTCTATATATCGAAAATCTATCAGCTTCAAGTTTTTCTATATCCGATTCCTGAAATAAATAAATAAATAAAAAAATTATTTCGAATATTAAATTTAATAAATAAATTACAATTACACAATTTAAATTTTATATTATGTTAAAATTAATTTACTTTATTAATATTTTCTTTCATCATTTTATCAATTTCTTTATTTAATTGTGAATACTGTCTCTTGGCTGAATTGACAGCAACTGTCTTAATATCGAATTCTTTTTTAATTTCATTTAACTTTTCTTGTTTTTCGGTAATTTCATCAGAAATACGTTTTTTGTCTCTTAATAATTGATTTTTTTCTTCTTCCAACTCGACCAACCTTTGTTTATCCTCTTGAATAGATGTATGCAGTTTATACAATCGATCTTGAGTTTCTTTCTGTTGTTCTGATTCAAACTTTAATCTTCAAAATATCATTTTAAATTATTATTATATAAATTATCTAAAATTATCGAAAAAATTATTCAAAAAAAAAAAAAGAAAAATTATAAATTATTGTACTTACTGATTTTGAAGTCTTGATTTTTGCGTGGTAAATCTCAATCTATTTTCAGCAGCTTCTTGGGCCATTTTTAATTGTCTTTGTTCATAATCGCGAATATTTGTGACTTGAATTTTTTGACAAAAATCATAAAAAACAAAATCCTCAATTGAATTTATTCTACTTTCCAATGTAATAATTTGTTCATTTAAATGTGTAAGTTCAGTTTGTGCCTAAAATATATAATTAATTTATGAAAATTATCCCAAATAATTAATATTAATGAATAATAAATAATAATTAATAACACAAATAATTAATAATAAATATAAATATACCTGATTTAGAAGTGGTTGAAGTTTTATAACTTCATTAGCAATAACTTTTAATTCGTCATTGATAGCCGTCAATTTTTGAGTGGATTCAAACTAATCAAAGAAATAAAAGAAAATAAGAACATAAGACATTTATTGCCTAAAAAAATTTCATTATTTAAAAAATTTTTTTTTTTTTTTTTAAAAAAAAAAACCTACTAAATCTTGTTGAGAAAGTTCAAGTCTCGATTCTAAACCAGATATTTCACTTTTTTTTTGTTCTTCAAAATTACCTCTACGTTTAGATTTATTAAGATTACTTAATTTTAAAAATATTTCATCTCTTTGCCGCTTTAATCCTAATTTACAAAAGAAAAAAAAATGATGATGATTATTTAATTAATAATAAAATAATACAAACCAGAAATTAGTAATAATTATCACTCACCTTCCAAATTATCAGCTCGTTTCTTTTCTGTTACCCTTTTTGCGCCTGAAAGAATATCATCACTATGTCCACCAGTGATTAATCCACTTTTATGTATAATTGTACCATCAAGTGTGACAGCTAAAAAAATAAAAAAAGAATATAAAATAAAATGTTTTAGAATATTTCTAAAAAAAAAAAAAAAAAAAAAAAAAAAAAATCGAAGTAAACATTTGAAATAAACACCTTTAACTTGTTGATTCTTTTCATAACATATATGTTTAGCAATTTCTAAAGTATCACATACTAATGCATTACCACAAGAATATTGAAATGCGCGTTCTAATTTATTATTATACGTAACAACATCTATAGCTAATCTGGCACCTTTCATGAAACTTCTATATTTATCATTTATGGGTTTAACTATGATTGTATCAAGAGGGATAAATGTCGCATGTCCCAATCGTTGTTCTCTCATGTACTTTTATGAATAAATATTATTATTATTATTATTATTATTATAAATTAATAATATATATTAATAATATTACACATTGATATTAAGTATTTTAAAGTATTCGTTTACCTGAATGCATTCGATGGCAGTTTTTTGTTGTTCAACAATAATCGCGTCTAAATTTCTTCCCAAAATAATTGAAACGGGAACAGCATATTTTCTCTGACTGGGTGTAAATAAATCTAAGAGACGTCCGTGCACACCCGAAAATACTCTTTTCAAACTTTCTATACATTCCTTCATTTTTTGTTCTCTTTCCGATTCATTCCGATCTACATTGGCCACCGTAATTTTATTTAAAATTTCTTGTAATTCACGGTTTAAGTAAATTTCTTTTCGACTATTAAAAAAAAAATTGTCAAAATCAGTAACATAGAAAGTGATTAGAGATTATCTAATAAATAATAAATTATATATATAAAAAAAAAAAAAAAAATCTTAAATTTTCCTACTTAATAGATTCCCTTTCAACTATAATAGCCTGAAGTTCTTGCTTTGATTTATCAAGATCTTTCTGTAATTGTTCAACAGAAGCTTCGACCTATAGCAACAACAAAAAAGTCAATAATTAAATTCATCAACAATTAAATTAATTAAAATTCAAATATAATTCAATTTGCAGTAATTTGTATATATTATATGCTAACCTTATCTTTATGTTCTGATAAAGAGAAATTTTCCTCTTCCAATTGTTTATGACGTCGATCTAAATCAATCATTTTTTCTTCTATTCGTTGAGTAGATTCACGACAAGTTTTTTCTTGTCGTTTGAGATTTTCGAGTTGTTGTTTTTCAGTAATAGTTTTTTTATTAGCTTCTTCTCTCCTATACATACATATACATATATATATATATATATATATATATATATCAATTAAGATATAATATTTATAATTATTTAATTTTTTTCAATTTAAACACGCGAAATTAACACGAAATTAACTCAAGATTATTATTACTTTCTGTTATATTCCGCAAGTTCTTCAGCATTTAACATTGCATTTCTTTTGCTACTATTACTTTCAGCATTTAACGAAGCTTTTAAATAGGTATACGTATAAATAAATAAATAAATTATTTCAAATTATTATTATTTATTATTATTTATATTAAACCAAATTTACCTTCATAATTTTCGGCATCTTTAGTAATTTTATCTAATTCAAACTGTAATTCTTCAACACGTTTTGACTACATAAATATAAATTTATTAAATATATTATATGTTAATGTTATATATGTAATACATGTAATATATACCTGACGATCAAAGTCCTTTTGCACTTTTTCGGAAATTTGATCAAATTGATATAATTTTCGTTTAGAATGGGCAATTTTCTCATCTACGGTGAGTAAAGCTGGACGCTATTATGATTTAAAGTAATTATTTAGATCATTCAAATATTTTAAATTAAATATATTTAAATATATTAGACATTAAAATCAAAATTTAAATAAAGAATAAAAATTACCTTTTCTTCTAATTCTCTTTCTTTTAATTTAATCTCATTTTCCATTTGATATTGTTCTTTATGAACTTTCGCTTGTTCAATCCTCGCTTGTTTTAAATTCGTTTCATATCCTTTCTGTATTTGTCGTTTTTCTTTAATTATATCATTATGACTATCTATTTGTTCTCGATATTCTCTTATATCTTCTTGAATGTGAAATAATTTCCATAAAAGATATTGAACAAGGATTTGTGCCTATCAATAACAAATTTTTTTTTTTTTTTTTAAAAAAAAAAAATCATAAATCTTTATTTCACCACAAATTTTCTATAAAGAATTTTAATAAAGAGTTATAGTGATGTAACCTTTTCGGCTTGTAACTTTTCAAATTGAAGTGCTTGGGCTTTTTGTTTTTGATATTCCTGTATTTCAGAATTGATACCACGTTTTTTATTAAAATTAAATGTAGAATTTTCCGTAGCTCGTTCTTGTGATATTTTAAGTCGTTCATATTCCGCCTTGAATTCAAGAGAACTTTATTTTTTTCAAAATATACTTTTTCAAAATATATGTTATATGTATAAAAATTTCAAAACTTTTTTTTTTATAATAGATTAGAAACTTACCCACTAATTTGTTCTATTAACCTAGTTAAATCTTTGGGAGATTGTGATGCTATTGCCTCTACATCACCCTTACATATATATATAGAGAGAGAGAGAGAAAAGGAAATTTAAAATAAATAGAATAAATGTATAATTAATAAATCAAAAGATAAATTATAATATTAATCTTTTATTTATGAAATTAAAGAATACCTGAAAAACTAAAAAATTTCTAGCCTTAACTAAAATATTTTGCTTTTCCAGTTCAGAATTGTATTTTGCAAAACTAACCACTTCATCATTAATTTTATATTCACTTGATCCAATTCTTGTAATACTATATGATTATATTTAATAAATGAATCAATTAAAAAAAACTTTAATGCATGTTTCTTGAAAAACAAAAAAAAAAAAACTTAATTCATATAAAAGCATATAAAGAGATATAAAGAAGAGTAAATTAAAAAAATTAAATTAAATCAAATTAATGATGATAATAATAATAATCAAAATAATAATAATTAGTACCTTCTTTGAAATCTGATTTCTTCATCATTTTTTACTTTATATACAGCCATAACCCAGGCTCGTTTTGGATTATTTTCTGAAGCGATATTATTATTAAAATTATTATCATCATCTTCATCATCACCATCATTATCTTGTGTATTACTTCCAACATAGATTAATTCTCGAAGTTGGGTAGAACGTAATTGAGCAGATTTAATTCCCAAAACAAAAGAAATAGCATCCATCAAATTTGATTTTCCTGTAAAACAGATATTTAAAATAAATTAAATAAAGCACATTTGAAGTGAGACCATTTCTCGCTTTATCTACGTAAGAAAAAGAGAAAAAAAATATCGATAATATATTTTCTCGAAAATTTGAAAAGACTAAAAGAATTACCTGCACCATTTGGTCCAATTACTGACGTGAAATTATGAAAGGGTCCAATGGTCTGACGTCCTTTGTATGATTTGAAGTTTTCAAGTTCGAGTCGATCCAAACGACCCATTTTATCGTTCTTTATTTTTTATCGTTTTTTATCAAGTCAGCGGATATGTCTTACTGATCGACGAGCAAATTTAATGCATATTGTAAAAATCATGTGATTTGTTGAATTTTATATGTGAGAAGTTTCTGTAACCAAATCACGAATGACATCAGACTATATGTTGATCGGATCGTGACATATGGGCTGATTTGGCTCCATTCGATTTTGTCACATAAAATTGATTTTGTAATACAATAAAATAAAATTAATCATAAAATCTGATGATCTAGTTTTTTTTTTGTTTCTTCGTGCTGTCAAAGGTACATAGGAAATCGGTTTTGAATCAGTTGAAATCGCGTACTTAGATAAAAATATTAAAATTGTATATTCTAATTTATATAAAAAAATACTATCTATTTTTTAGGATATTTGAGCGAAATAGGAGTTCTTTTGAACTTGTAAAATATAGATCTCAAAAGGTTTAAAGGTTTTAACACTTAATACATATGTATTTATTATTTAGTAGATTTTGAAATGCATTATTAATAATCTTAGTTTTATATTATAATTATAATTATAAGTTTTATTAGAGTTATAGAGTATAAAATAATGTATTTTTAATAATTATAAAAATTATAAATACAAGTTAGTTAATAAAAAAATATAAAAATTAAATAT